GGAGGCGGGGTGAGAGGGGGAGCGGTGAAGTTGCTCGGCAGTGGCCTGGCAGGCAGTTCGGCAGAGACGCAGCCAGGGGGAGGTCTGCTCTTTGCCGGGAAGCTGCTGAGCCTGTTCCCTCTTGCCTCCCTGCAGCATTAAAGACTGTAAATGGCAGGAGAAGAACATAGTTGTGATGGAAGAAGTTGTTATTGCCCCTCCATATCAAGTGGAAAACTGTAAAGGCAAAGAGGGAAGTGCGCTGAGTCACGTACGCAAAATAGTAAGTATGGAGAGGGGGTCCGAAGCCGAGGGTGGGAGGTGCGCGGGGCTGTCCGGAGCGGCGCGTGGCGCGGTGAGCTGGCTTCGCCGCGCCGGGCCGCGGGGACCGGAGCGCCCTGGCCTGCTTTGCGCCCTGCCTCCCTCAGGCTGGAAAGCCAAAAGGTAATGCAACGTTCACAAGCACAGCAAACACAGAAGGAAACCTCCCTGTCATCCTGAGTCCCACCCTCCGAGCGCCGGGGACTCTGCCACCACCCAGCAGGAGACGTCGACTTCTTCAGCGGAGGCCGGGGCGGGAGGGCAGGGGTTCAGTTTTATTTCCTTTCGGGCTCGTTAATGGGGAGCTCACCGATTCCAAACCTTAGACTTTAAAACAAACGAGAAAAGAGAATAATTTAAAAGCTCATGCATTACTTGACTAACAGACTTTCTTTTGTCCGCCATGTTTTCTTTCCTATGAGCCAGTCAGACTTTGTTAGTTTTATTTTTTGACGTTTCTTTCCTTTCCTCTCCTCCTGCCGAGAAACCTTCCCCCTCCCTTTACTTTTCTAAAGGGGGGTTGTCACCCCGTCCCACCCTGTGTCCTCCTCTCTGCCTGTCTGTAACATAGGAGACTCTCTCCCTCGCCCGTCCCTATCCGCAGAAAACCCCTCTAAAAATAAAAGTAACAAGCTGACTGAGGTAACTGAATCGGGACCTTTGTGACCAGCATGGTCTCGTTTTAATTTTGTTTGCACAGGGCAAGGCTTGAATTAGTCTTATTTTTCTTATCTTTAAATATATATATGAATATATATTAAAATGTTCTTTAAATATTTTCTGCTTTTAGCAGTCCTCTTGACCAGGATCATGGCAAAAAAACCCCACCCCGACCCAAATAAACCCTCCGATCCTATCGGCCCTCGAGTCCGAGGTTTGGTTTGTTTTTTTTTTGTTTTTTTGGTTGTTTTCTTTTCTTTTTTCCCCC